AATGGACTCGTCGGGTCTAACTATAATTATGGAACCGTTCGGGTTCGGTTCCGTTCGGGTTGGTTCAGTTCCGTACCATAATCAATTTTTTTAATATTTACAGCAACACTACATAAATACAACCAATAACATTTCATTCATAACTTTTACAAATTAACGTAACCCAAATCAAAAACATATAAATAACTAGCCGTCCAATAAAATTAATTCAATGCATACAAATACCAAAAAGTAGATATTAATATTACATCAAAACTACATAAAGTATATTCATTTGTTTCAAATTAAAATATGTTAATAGGTTTTAAAAATGATTTGGGTTTTAAAATTAAAATTATGAAATAATCTGATTTACTTAATTAATTTGCTAATTTGTATAAAAAAAATAAAATAATTTAATTAATTCAATATAAAAAATAAAGAAATTATTTAGTTTCGATTTTTCGGTTCTTGGTCTAAACCCGAGACCCCGGCCCAAACCCATCGATTCTCGATTCGGGTACCCATTCGGGTATTTAATTTATGAAGAACCGTTCGGTTCGATTCGGTTCGGGCCGAGTTCGGTTCGGGACTTTTGGACACTCCTAACAGAGAGTCAACAAGAAGGTCAAAAGAAGACCTAGGAGGTCAAACACACATAGAAGGCAAACACGTCGAGGTCCTCTACAACAGCCGAAGTCCTCACACTGCATGACAAAGTCCAGGCTGAGGTACTACTTCAAAAACGAAGCTGCCTAAGGAAGCTAAGAAAGGAATAGAGGTTCTCCACTTAGAGAAATACTTCGAAGACTCCTTCGAGATTCTTAGTTCATCCGAAGCTCGTAGTCAATACTATTCCACTTAGAGGATTCGAAGATCTCTGTAAAGTGATTGATGTAACACTTGTAAAAAAAATTTGTCAGCGTGTCTGCTTATTGTATAGGCCAGCTGTCCGCTTATCAATGTATTAATTGTATGAATAGACAGTGATGTGACATCTCTATTAGGAAGATGAGACCACGTGGTTTTGATCCAACGATTACCACGTCGGCCAAAATAGTATGAATATGCTCTTTTTGTAATGTAGAAGGAGTTGGATTATGAATTGAAAAAAGAAGAAGAACTAACAATCGAAATATATAATCACTTGAGTTCATTTTTGGTCTCTAGGGCATGTTCATGAGTGAAAAATTCTTGTATACGATATAGCAACCTGAATATACATCATATCTATCCTTCCACTTAGGGATGACAAAAAAACCCGATAAACCCGATACACTTGGGGTCTTGCCTCGAACAGGGCGGGGATAACCCGCTTAATCGGGTATCGAGGGAAAAATTTTGCCCGGGGAGGGTAACGGGCGCCCAAGTCCCATTAAATTTTTTTATTTTTATTTTTTTTAGAATTCAATACTTTAAATGAAAATTTTCACAAAATTTTATTAGTTCTAATAGAAAACAGTAACTAAAATTATTTGTCTAAATCTAATGAATATGGACAATAAAAATAATTTATCAAAAATAAAAAAAATTAAACGGGTAGTAAATGTGGCAAGGACCCCGCCCTGCCCTAAACGGGTAACGGGGCAGGCAAATAACGTGCAACGCACGTTCACCTCCCCTAGTCTTTAAAAACTGTCATTTCTTTTATATGGCCAACGCCTCCCCAACTTTCACTAGGGCTGTCAATGGATTGAATTTTGATTCGAATCCGATCTAAATCCGATGAAATTAATGAGAGATGGATTTAGGGTTTCAGTCCGATAACCCGATTAAGATTCGAATCCGATAATCCGTTAACTAAATGGATCAAATATAGATATATGTCAATCTGATCTAATAACAATCCGATCCGATTTGTTATAAATAATTGAATCGGTAAAATATTTTTATGGCATATTATTTGTCACTAAAATAAATAAATGAGAAAATAAATAAATTTAGAATAAAAAAGTAATCAAATTCAAAGCATAAAAAAATTGAAAAATTTATAATTATTAAACCTGTTTAAGAATTGGAAACTTTGAAAAAAAAAAAGTTGATTTCAACCAATATTTTAAAAATCGACATCGGGCATCGGCTCGGAAAAGGAAGAGGGTCAATGGTCAAAAAGTCGAATCAATATCGAACCGATTGTCAATTTGAATAAATAACTATACACAAAATGTAAAATATTATAAAAAAATAAATAGATTTTTTATTTATTTATTTTAGTTTACTAATTTAAAGCAAATAAATATTTATATTTTTCTGAATTAAATTTATTATTGTAATTTATTTTACAATTTCAAAAACTAATAATTAATATATAACAAATAATTTGATTTGTTAATGGAAACAATGAAATAAAATATTTATATTTGGAATTGAAATTCTATTATACCTTATCCCACATCGAATGTCAATAGAAAACTAAAAGATGATATCTCCTTTAAAAATGAACATCGTGATGGTAGAAATCATTATTGAGCTTGCTAGTAAAAATAGGTGGGCTTCAAGTTAGTCCAAATTTTTTTAAAGAACATTGATTTTTTTCCTAATTTTTATTAATTTTGGATCGGATATACGATAACATAGCAAATTGGATATGAATTTAATATTCAAATATCTGTTGGATTATTGAATCGAATAATTTGCTTATCGGATCGG